TATTATTCAGAATGGAGGGTATTTAGTAATATATATATATATATTTAATTTGCATTCGAATTAAAAATAAAAAAATAATAATACGTTAAAATTTTGGGCTTCTTGGGCAGGTTGGAAAGGGGTTGGCTAAGGACGATAGGGCTCAGAAATTAGCTTTTCAACATTGGATTGAAGCTGTAATAAATATTGCGACTGTTCCTATATTTCTAATTTTTAAAATACCCATTTCTTATTATTATTTTATTTTATTTTATTATTATTGTGGCATATATAGATTGATCCAAGGCATAGATATGGTCACAACTTAAATATATACTACGAAGAGTGGTGTAAAGGAGATGCAGGGCTGCCATTTTTCTACTGGTAAGTACTGCGCGCACTACATCTTTTAGTCCTTTTCCTAGTAATCATGAAGGCCACTCTTTTCAAAAAATACTAGTCAAACAGGTAGAAATATGATACTATTGTACTCTCTCTCTCTATATATAAATTAAATAGTCAACAATTTTAAATTAAGGTCAAATGCTCTAAAATGGGCTATACTATTCTTTTGGGCTGGTTGGACTTCAACATTGTGATTAACACGGGATGATCTAGAAGAGTGGAACAATTTAAAATTTTTTGTTTTTAAGAGTAATTTAATCGGAAAGTAATTCAAAATCACATTAAATTTTTTGGATATTTGAACATATGGGTAATTCAAATTAACCCAAATTGTAAAACCGTGTTAAAAAAATAGAAGATAGGTTGAGCTGAGGTTGAATAATTAGAGTTGCAGGTAGGATTAGGGTTGGAATTAGGTTGAATGTTTCATATGTCAGGTTGGGCTCAAGCTATACTACCAATCCGCCTGAATTGCAGCACTACATGTTCTACCATTTTCATACTTGGAAGCCAATAGAAAAATGCAGGTTCTACATTACAAAATACAGATTTCCAATGGCATAAACCCATGAAAGACTCCACAATGAATAAATACCATGCATGTAAATTACAATATATATATATATATATATATATTATCATTGTTGTATAGCTTTTTAAATGTACCTTTCACAGGTTGGACATTGGAGATGGCAAAGAGATTGACCTCAAAGAATGCCCAAGATCAAGGCTTCAGCAAGAATGCATCAAATATCTTGGACCAGTATGCTCCTCCTCCTGACCACCAAACATAGTATCATTGTCTAAAATCAAGATCATAATGCAGTTAACATCAAAGTGTTTTACCGGGGAAAAAAAAAATACACACATCAAAGTGAATGGCTAAATTTCCATGAGAATGCAGTATGATCTGTTAATGCCAATTCCAAAAAGAATGAAACATTTCCCTGTTGTATGATTTTTGCATGCTCAGGATCAACTATTACACTTTACACTAAGGCATCAATTTCTAAAATGTCAACCTCAATCGATTGTTCTAACCACCATTTTTTTTTTTTTATTTTATTTTTTTTTATGACCATTACTGAAACAAGCAAGAGAGGGAACAGTATGAATACATAATAGCTGAAGGAACGATGGTGCACAAACAAACTGGCAATCCCCTTGATACCAATCAAGAAGTGCAAGGTTCTAAATGGATATTCGTGATGAGTACCACTAAAAGATTATATGCTGGTTTGGTAAGGCTCAACGTAGAAACGAAAACCATTTTATGGCAGTTTTCTCTTGTTTCCGGTGTTTGCAGTTTCTTTAATCAACCGAAGACTAATATTTGTTCGTCCTCCATTCAGAAAAGGAAGGGGTCGTTTCATCATTCTAGCTTCCTCGCAGGAGCCACCACTTTAGCAGCTGGACGACTCATGGCAGAATGTGGAAAGCTAAAGGTATATAGTGCTAATAGTATTGGTTATGTTAGTCTGTAAATGATCTGAAAATACAGCAGTAATTATAATTTGCTCATGACCATTGCGACAAAAACAGAGAAGAGGATGGGAGATTTTATTTTCGGAACTAAATATGTGCAAACTGCTATAATAGTAGCTCATAAAACATTATTAACATGATTAGACAGAGGTTCTAATGTCACCTTTGAACTGAAATTAGCTCTTCATTTCTAATTTCATTTGGTTCAAACTACGATGAACATTCAAAATGATTCCAGAATTGTCTGGTTTAGTAATACCGTGAAGTGCTCTAAACATAGGAGTCACCCAATTTGAAGATGCTCATGACTGATTAGAAACTTGAGTACTAACCTCTAGAGGCTTTTCCGGGAGAGCTGTGCTGGCAAATCTTGAGTCAATAACATGCACCCGTAGCAAATAGTATCTTTATGCTTTTATAAATGCATACGTATACATGATATCAGTTCTAGTAGGGTAATAAGCTATTGATTGCAGATCATCATTAAACAAGAATGAAAAAAATAAAAAAAATTGAATGTGAAGGAGACAGTATGCTGATGTCTGAAGCATGCATCTTTCGTTTATGTGAAAAGTAAATCATCATAAAATAATAATAAATGAACTCTGCTATAAAAGTGAAGGAGATAGTATGTTACTCTGTAAATTCTGGTTGATGATGCTTCAAATGTATATTTCGCTGGCATCAGAATTCTAACGAGTCTTCTCCATTTTCAGTCTGTATCAGCATACAGTGGACATTACCGTCCAACTTATGAAAACCTAAGCTGTTTTTTAGCCTTCCTCCAGGACAATGGGGTTAAACTTGAAGAAATTCAGGTATCCAACAATTGGTTCCAAATATTCCATTCCAGGTGCCATTCTCAAATCGGATAAGATTTGGTCAGATTGCATCTGGTCTATAAGAGATGCTTTGCTCGGTCTCACTTGTGTTGCAAATGACCTTTTACTATGCTTCTGTTCTAGGCAGGTAATATCCCATGCTGAATATTGTCAGAGCTACGATATCAGCGAATCAACTCAAGAAGGGAGTCAGAATGGACACCCCTCTAATCCAGAAGTACCCAAGCTTCAAATCCCTGGTAAAATTGAGCAGAAGCAAACTTCAGCTAGGTTTGCTCAGTCTGAAAGAACAGGGAGTTACAAAAGAACCTTATCCAGTAATCTCCAGAGCCCACAGACGAGAGTTCCTAAAAAGGAGATATTGCAGAGGATCAAGTCCAAAAAGGAAGCGAGTTCATATCAGTTAGGCCACCAACTGTCTTTAAAATGGTCAACAGGAGCTGGCCCCAGAATTGGCTGTGTGGCAGACTACCCTCCGAATTTAAGGGCACAAGCACTGGAGTTTGTTAACCTCTCACCCAAGGATCCCCTCACACCACAAGCTTCTCAATGCTCTACTGCTCCTACTAAAGTCACAAATCTCTGCAAGGTGATGTGAGTTCAGATTTGATGATCAATTCAGCATACTTCCAACATGCTAATGTTTTCTCCACATGTACACTCCTTATCTTGTCACCTGTGCATGACTTGGCTACATTCAAACATAGAACAATTCAGGAAAGGTCAAAGGGAAAGATTTCATTGCCAATCCATTCTTCATCTACGATTGCAACGATTCCAGTTTACTTACTCCCCCATAATACAATAAGGACATGACATTAAGGTATATATTCTGCATCGGACAACTAGGCTGTCAATCCACTCAATAATATGACCTGCAGAAAAAGAGCATCTATTGTTCTTCAATTCAGTCCAGCTATGTCCAGAATCATTTTTCAGTGCCTTTTACATAAATTTCCCGACTAGGCTACATTTAATTCGCTTCACTTTGCATAAAAGTTATGTTCACCCAGTGACGAAAAACTGATTCATTCTGATACCACAATTGATGACAAGCAAATGAACTTGTATTCCAACCACCAAAATCTCTAGATCAGTGCAATCCCCAATACACCTGCATAGAGAATCCATTCACCTCACCCTGCCTTATGCGACCGCAACAAAACTTTCCACCCTTTTCTCTGCACTAGCAATAGCAACAAAAGAAATGAGGTCCTCGATAGACCAAATTTGGCTCCAAAATTACATGAAACGCGAATTGAGTCCATTCCAGTAGCCACATTTCTCACAGAGATTGACCAAACAGCTACTACACAGTTAAGTTCTTACATGAATTTTTTACCAGTACAATGCTAGCACAAGCAGATGTAGTGCCAACATAACTGCAACTAGTTGGATCAAAACCAAAGTTAACCATCAATCTGGTGTGAATACCAAGATACCAAAGTTATTCATGAAACAAGACATCATTCAGGCATTTTATCAAACATCTTCAATGCAGTCAAGCTCTAAATGTTGTTTGTTTCAGCATCTGTATGAAAATTGAAACCCATATGTAATAATCAGTAAGTAGACTGTTATGCCTCCGAGAGCAGACCTGTTGTTGCCGATTAAGCTCAAAATGTGAGAGAAGGCCATAGAAAGACTTGAATTCAGTTGGGGAGGCTGTTGTTTGGTTATGGAAAGAGACTTGGGTTGTCTAAAATTTCTCTCTAGATTGTTGGATGCAATAATATCATTCTTCTAAATAATGAATCAATAGGTGGTCTCTCTCTACAACAATTAAATTTAAAATGAGTAATCCTTCTTTACATGATAATGACAACCTTCAAACTAGAACCACCATTCTTCTTCTTTTTTTCATAGAGGAGGTATCCTTACACCTTAAGGGTGAGACTAATCCACCTCAGGGTACACACCTTACGGGTGAGACTAATCCACCTTAGAACACATAAAGTCCGTAAATGAGAAAAAGGTTTGTCAATTCTCTCTTGTATATTCTGATTGATCGGTATAACCAATTGGGCCTGAAGATTTTTTTTGGTCCTAACAAATAACTCCCACAATATTCTTGAAAAAACTTGACCGGTATCCTCTACTTTTAAAAAAGGAGGAGATACCACTGGACCACAGTCCTTGGTGGTAGATATGGTTCAAACTGTCTCACCTAGTTAAAATAATAGCAAAAGTGGTCATCATTTTGGTTCAGATTTGTAAAACCACCACAAGCCTGGCATATCAAGTATAATATTAAAGACAAAGCATCATATGATGGGCGGACTCTAGGAATATCATAAGGAACACACTTTCTATTTATAAACTAATATATAGTACATAAAATTTATATTGGAAAAGCACGCAAGAAATTATTGTAGCTTACAGGCAAGTGAAGGCATGCTAAACACTCATTAACTATTCATAAGAAGTTCACCAAATTAACCAATCAACACACATTTTATTCCAATAGAGCTATTGGAGAGACCACATTAAGCAACAGCAACAGCTTCAACAGGCTTTGCTTCTGGCTCAGCTGGCTTTGCTTCTGGTTCTGCTGGCTTTGCTTCTGGTTCAGCTGGCTTTGCTTCTGCAGGATTGGCATCTGGTTCTGCCGGTGCTTCTGCTTCCCAAAAGGAAGTCTTCTTACCAGTCTTGGAAACCGTCTGTAGAACTGCTTCTGGCTGCACGTTGCCTTTTACCGTCACTTTTTGCTCCTTAATATCAATGTCAAATGACTCTACACCTGAAGTTCATTCAAAAGGGATGCAACAAGTAAATATCAACCAATCAATATTACTGAAGTGAGCAGAAAATAACCGACATTTGATAGTTCTGAGGACTTATTTCAACCATCTTAGATTTCTACAACATCATACGTGTTACTACAATAGAAAAAAGCTAAAGCAAAATTAGGTTCAACCATATTGTATGCCAGAATTTCTAGATTAGTAATAAGGCACTTGTGCATACTGATCTAAAGGTTAGGACCAGTTAGTTTTTGATAAACGTGTAGTATATGAAATAGGTTAAGGTGTACTAGGTAAAAAAGGAAAAATAAATTGCACGTAAAGGTTATAACAGACCTTCCATTTTGCCTAAAACCCTTTTCACTGCCCCTACACAGCCTTGACACGCCATGCCAACCTTAAGAACAACAGTCTGCGTCCACACACAAACAGGAAATTGTAAACACAACAGGAAATAATCAAGAAACATATTACCATAATGTAGCATCCAAGTCGCCAGAGTTGAAATTAGAGCATATTGCAATCATTCAATCTCAATAAAAAAGAGAAAAAAACACACACACAGACGTGGGTTGGGGGGGATGGATGCAGAGTCTAGATAATTGAACAAGGCACTAGGAGTCATTTACGAAAAGTTCGTGCCATTGTGTGAAATTGAAAAGAACAACAAGAGTAATGCTAAAAAAATTGAGACATTTGTCATGCCCCGTCAAAGGAGGTTGCGCCACACTCAAGCGCAGAAGAGCACTTTGCATGGAGTTTGCTTGGCAAAGGTAGAGAATTGGGGGTTCTAGAATCTCACATTGGGTAGAGAATTGTGTAGTGTTTGAGGATTTTAGAATGTTGTAGTGTTGTGTAGAGGAGAGAACGTCCTAGAGAGTTAGGTAAGCTTGTAAATATCTAAAAGAGTATTCAATACAATTGATCTTAACCATTGATTTTAATGCATTATCTTCAGAAGGATGTTTATAAATAGGGTAGGGATTTCATGAGTAGGCAACAAATTTTGAGTTAGGCTAATCAAGATTTGAATTTGAATGGTTCCACTCAAATATTATATCGAATTTTAACCACATAAATCAACATATTGTATGAAAACATTTAGCAAAAATTAATTTATATTTAGGTAAATATCATCTAGAAATACTAGTAGATTTTCTTTTGTATTCACAAAGGGAGTTGCAGTAGATCCTTAATTATTTAAGTGATTTTATCATTTTACCTAATGCTCAGTGATTTATGATTTATTTAACGGGTGCTTAGTGAGTTATTTGTCATTCATTTTATTTAAATTCTTTCATCTTGGTGTGTGTATATATATATATTCCTTCCAATTTCATTGTATGGGTACAGCAATCCATGATAGTTACAATTATCTCATCTATATATATATATATAGAAATTAAGAAACTGAATTATCTCATCTATATATATATATAGAAATTAAGAAACTGAATAAATGGGTATTCAAATTCACTACATGAATTTTTTCCCTAAAATTCAAACAGTTGAGATGGACACCCCTAAATTTTACGATTTTTTTTTAATTCCACAGAATTTCGCACAATCTACCTACTTCTAACTGATTTTCTTAGAAATGTTCACTCTTTTGAGTAAATTTTTGCCGAAAAAGAAGTGCAAAATTAGAGCCCGAATTTGATGAAAATTGAATTTTAGTGACACATAAACGACCACCCACAAATCCAAAATGTTAACCAAAAAACCTACCCTTATTCCAAATTTAAAACGAAGAAAACAACAATTGCAACAACAGAACAGATAGAAAACAAAATCAATCAAAGAGCTGAAAATTAATGTGTACAGAGAGTCATAGAAGAATAATTGAAATACCTGAGACATGGTCACTATACTTGGTCAGAAGGATCTGAATACGGAGAAGAGAAAGAGAGTAGAAGTGAGTTTAATTTTGGAATGGGATTTGAGAAGGTATTGAGGCTTGGGTTTTTAAAGAAGCTTTAGGGTTAAAAGAGAGGTTCAGTTGGGTTCGGTGAGGACAATGTCAGTTTGTCGCTAATTATCTTCACGTAACGTAGAAGCACGCGTTCCGCTTACGCGTCAATTTTCTATAGGCCTTGGTGAGTGCCTATGCCCTCATTGGTGAGTGCCTATGTCAATGTTGGGGGGGCGCATGTATATATATATATATTTTTGGATGGTAAACTAAATATACACACTTTTTTTTTTTTTTTTTTTTTTTTTTAAGAGGGGGAGGTTATACTATTGGACCAAAAGCCATTTGGTAATATATATATACATAAACTTTCTTCGTCCCAAAATATATATATTCTGTATATATATACTCCCTCCATCCCAAAATATTGGGTATTAAAATATTTTGAAACAAAATGAGTAATATATATATAGAATATTATATAAACATATACTCCCTCCGGGTATTTTGGGACGAAGGGAGTATATGTCTGTATAATATTCCTTCTATCTCAAAATAAGTGTTATGATTATTTATTTATTTATTTTTTGTCCCAAAATAACAGTCTACCTTCTTTTTTCATCTATATATATTACTCATTTTGTTTAAAATATTTTAATACCCAGTATTTTGGGACGGAGGGAGTTTATGTCTGTATAATATTCCTTCTATCCCAAAATAGTTTACCTTCTTTTTTCATCTATGTATGTCCTTTGAGTTTAAAATTTTAAACTTGAATATTCAAAACTTAAAAGGGCAATTTATGTCCCACATGTCTCCTTAAAAATTACTACTTCTCATAGATACTTAAATTGAGACGGGGAGAGTATGTGTGCGCAATGTGCATCTATATATATATATATATATAATTTAAGAGTAATCGTTCTTATTTTGTTTTTTCCTTCAACTCGATGTTTTTAATAAATGGAATAGATGACAAAATTATTCTTAGTAAATGGTATGTAAAGTACATTTCAAAATATTTTGAGTGTCAATGAGTTCTTGAGAAACAATTGTGTTATTTTATTAAGATAAATAAGTGTAATTTTTGGAGAAAAAAGAAAAGAAAAATAATTGTAAATATAATTACCCATACAACTCAATTTTTTTTTTTTTGATAGTTCAGTTATAATTTTTGTATTTTTAAGTTTACAATGAATATAAACCGAACACAGTTTAAATTTTAGTTCCATTTTTTAAATTCAAGTTTAAATACTTCAGTGTATATTGAATTCATATAAGGAACTTTATTAAATATTTAAGTGATTTAATTTTTAAACCCACTTAGACCCACACTTTTCATTAAATGTTCATCTTGCATTTTTAGTATTACATTGTTTTACCAAATGAAGCTTACTTAGACAACATGAAGTAGTTCGAAAGTTGTTTAGAGTTATTGTGGAACCCGTAGCTTTATAGTACATGTACATTTACGGTGGTTGTTGCAGTACAACTTGCATAGAAGAAGTACAAGCCCGTGAAACATGTTTGAGTGGTATTACAAATATCCTGTGCCACCATCAAAAACATGTTTTGTCCCATTAACCAATCATGGCTCCTAGGGCCTCCACGTGGCAGAGATCTGCATCGATGCTCATCTTGTAGATTTGCACAGAATTAAAGCACTTTATTTATTTATTTTGTTTTTATCTTTTAGCATGTATAATTTGTATATTGTGTGATGGTCCAAGATTTAAGGTCCATCCTCTTTCCTTTTGTTTGTTTTATCATATATTCACTTGAAACTCTCTCCACTATCAACAAATGTAATAGTGACGGCAGATGAATCAAGTGGTATTATTTAATATGTGTGTGTTGTGGACTGATATATGTGATCTAAAAAAAAAAAAAATTGTAACAAATATAATTGTGACATCTGATGAATTAGTAACACAAAAATCAATAATATTAATCCAAAGTCGTCTTATATTTTAACAAATATATTTTTAGCATGATTGTAATTTACTCCCTTCATCAATTAAATGTTTACATTTTTTTATTTTTGGCAGTCTCAAAATAAATATTTCATTTAAAAAGTCAAAGTAATATATATATATATATATATATATATATATATATATATATATTGTAATATTACTAATTTAACATTTTTATAATGAACTTATAAAAAGTAAATCATTACATCTAATGGGTTCGTTATGAACATATTTGGTAAATCAGTTACTACTAATATAATAAAAAAATATATTTAAATTCATCCTCTTAAAAAGATAGATTTTTTAAAAGGGACATTTAATTCGAGACAAATAATATTATATATATATATATATATATATATATATATATATATTACTAATTTAACATTTTTATATTGAACTTATAAAAAATAAATCATCACAATTCGTTATGAACATATTTGGTAAATCATTTACTACTAATATAATAAAAAAATATATTAAAATTCATCCTCTTAAAAAGATAGTTTTCTTAAAAGGACATTTAATTTGAGACAAATAATATTATATATATATATATATATATATATTTGTAATATTACTAATTTAACATTTTTATATTGAACTTATAAAAAATAAATCATCACATCTAATGAATTTGTTAGGAACATATTTGGTAAATCATTTACTACCAATATAATAAAAATATATATTAATTCATCCTCTTAAAAATATAGATTTTTTAAAAGAGACATTTAATTTGAGACAAATAATATATTTTATCATACCTTTATCAATTATTTCAGAAGTATTTTAGTATTGTCACATTTGGAACGTAACTCTAATTTTATGAGGGTATCATAAGGGGACAATTTCAACCATCGTGTAACATCATCAACTTAAGTGTTATGGATTTATTCAAACTCACAAATTGAAATGCCAGATTAGACGCATGTCTGATGACGAGATGTTTAACGAAGTTTACCAATGAAATGAAAATGGCCATCATTTTTCTTGAAATATATAATATTTATATTTCACTTTCCCATATTGTCAACATGAAATATTTTAATTTGTCGGAAAAAAGAATCATCATTGCAGGCACATAACCATGATTTACTTTTGTTGAAAGACATAGTATATTTTTTTTATTTAAAAAGATAAGGTGAATGACAACAAAGGAAAAAAAGCAAAAAAAAATATATACCACGCCCACGGATGGGTAATTCAGGTCAACCATACTGTCATTGTACATAAATATATATAGAAATTTTTTTTTTTTTTTAAATTTTTTTTTTATTATTATTATTTTTTTATGATTGTCAATTTGTCATATAGATGATAAATTGTGAGTTGCCCAGTGTTATTTGATTAAGTTTTTCGATAATAGAAATTTTAGTGAGGGGTGAATAGGTTAACTTGTTAAAATTTCGCCATTGATTAATTTATTTATTTATAATGATGATTAATTAAATATTTATAATTATAAAAATATAAATAGTAAAGTAAAATAAGTAAGGTAGAGTTTGAGAGAAGATATCGGATTTTAAATGAGAAAATTGTAATTGGTGAAAATCAACCAATCATCTAGAAAAATTTCGGAGACTGCTATCACGAGCAAAATAATCTACTATAGTTGAAGTAAAGTACAATTGTTTAACTTATTAAAAAAAAAAGTATAATGAATTTTGACTAAGACTCACACCCATTCCGTTCTATCAAGAACCAATTCCTGAACATTTTTGGCTTTGCGAATCTCCCTTCCAAGAACACAAGACTTAAGCTTACTACTTCCTTGATCCCTGTAGACGCGAATGTTCTGATACCTTTAAAGTGTGAGCACTTCCTCATTTTCTCCAAATTCTAAATTATGCGAAGGCAAATAAAATCTTGTTTCTTAAAATCTTTGAATATTAAATATGCTCCCATTCCGATCCGACAGAGAATGTCACCATAAAATACTCTTACGAAAATTAAGTACTAAAAAGCTATCCAAAACCTAGATAGAAAAGGTGTTTATATAGATTTTAGTGAGACCTAAAAATACTTGAAAATCAAGTTTGTGCAAACGCAAACCCTAAAATCTGATATATATATATATATATATATATATATATATATATATATATATATATATAAACTGCAAATGGAATTCAATTGCAATTTCTATATTAGTTCGGGGAGTCCAGGAAAAGCCGGACCGGTCCATTACAACCTCATACGCCCCCCCCCCCCCCCCCCTATCCAAAACCTAGATAGAAAAGGTGTTTATATAGATTTTAGTGAGACCTAAAAATACTTGAAAATCAAGTTTGTGCAAACGCAAACCCTAAAATCTGATATATATATATATATATATATATATATATATATATATATATATATATAAACTGCAAATGGAATTCAATTGCAATTTCTATATTAGTTCGGGGAGTCCAGGAAAAGCCGGACCGGTCCATTACAACCTCATACGCCCCCCCCCCCCCCAAAAAAAAAAAAAAAATTTGACATTTACTTGCGTGTTAAGTTGTGATGGACCGAAATCATGTATTTTCGGGACAAGTAATAATTTCGAATTTCTAGATATTAATGACATTTTTAAGTCTTAGAAGACAATGTTCTTGAGAACTCCATTGCACTACTGCAGAACAAACCCAGTCACAATCGGGCCAGCTAAACACGTCAAACACGAATAACTGATACTTAAATTTTTAATTCACATTTAGAAGACAAGTTTAAATGCGTGTCATTGTATTATTGTAACACCCCATCTGAGAGTTGATGTATTTTCTTATTTTAAATGTTTCACTCCATTGGTTTCTTCATCATGCACGAAAACAAAGTATACGTATCGACCATTGTCTTTTTGGTTTGGTATTATCGTACCTTTGAACAAGTTTTTTTTCTTATAGAGCTGTGAAATGATTATGTTGTGTTTGGAGATTCATTCCATAATTTTTGTTACATTTATACATAAAAACAAATCAAAAGCACCAAACTTACGCTAGCTTCCCAGATTCTATTTTGCCAAAATCTTTCAAGTATGGTCATCATCAATGTCCAAACAAGGTTTGCTCATGTGGCATGCTTAGTTAACGGAAAGTGATAAAATTGCCCATTTTTGTCCTAATGTGGTAAATATTGAGAAAAACACTTTAGATGTGAGAGGGTTTGTTCTGTGTAATACGTAACGATGTGTTTACGATGTACTTTATAAGTAGGTTGTCTTACTAAAAACACAGTCAATTGAAGGTTCGAGTCGTGTTTTCATGCTTTTTTTTAAAAGAATAAAAAAAAAATTATTGTTGGATACTGTTAATTGGAGTCGCACAAAAAAAAAATAAGAATATATATATATATATATATATAATTGGAGAATATATATTTTCAATCATTAATGAATTACACAAAAAAAATTAAGAATATATATATATATTAATTGGAGAATATATATTTTCAATCATTAATGAATTATTATTTTCTATTATTGATAAAAATGAAGAATTTTCATTGCTCGGGGCACTGCAAAGTGGGTCACCCGGGATTTGAAAAAAAAAATCCATATTACATGGTGGGTGAGTTGTGGTTTGTAGCACGGCTACGTGGAATGAGCCTTGGTTGGTGGATATTACATGGTGATCGTCGTGGCCAATAGTCAAAAGTGTTTTTTTTTTCTGGAAAGATGATGGAGTCATTTGTGTGAGGTAGAAATTTGTAATGTTGACATATTATTACGGAATCAAAACTTAATAATCGAATTGTAATTTTGTTTATCTTTAATTTCGGTCTTTTAAGATCTGAAGAGCAAGTGAGTCTTCTTGTTAAATTCGTTGAAAACATCTTTTGGAACATGCATGTAAGTAAGGACACATTCTACTTATATGTTTTGAGTTGAGTGCGAGAGTTTTAAGTTTTTTAAATGGGTCAATTTTTAATACTCAACAAATGTATAACAGCTTGCGCGTACATAAAACAAAACCACTTGCACTTTCATGCAGGTCAAAATAGAGCTCTTGGCCAATATAGAACCGATCGTATTTCAAAACACAACCGTTGCACTTTCTTTGATTGAAATAGCCAACATTAAAAATAGAACCGGTTGCATTCTAAACAAAACCATTTGCATTTTTATGAACATGTGGAATTCCAACTTTTTGTTAACATTTTAATTTATTGTTTTTATCCAAATTCCTAGGGATGTCTTTGCATGATTTTATTTTATTTTATTTACTAAATATAAAGACTCTCTAGCATATAAATACGTCATCTATCTCTAATCCTATAGGAGGTTGATTGTTTCAAATTTTCAATTGAAAAAAATAAGGTTTTCATCTTTTTACATAAACATTGTAGCTTTGTCTGAGATTTTTTAGAGAAATCTAATTGTTTATCTTTAAGAGCACACACTTAAACACAAAAGTGATTTATTGTGATGTTCTTTTACCGATCAACATGTACAGAATCTTCAGAGTGTACATCAGATTACATAGTTGGATCAGTTCAGTAGGGTTTTCTTCTAACCTTCACAAAATTCAAATTTAAAGGAAGAGGAGGGATTGATTACATTTTGAAGGGCTTGGAGCATTTAAGGAGTGTTTGCCAACCCTTATACAAACGTCAAGAAATAAGCTGAAGTCTAGCGTGTTTGGACGGGGTGTCGCAAAGCAAAATAGATATTCAAAGATTGATACTTGTTAGAGCGAAGTGGGTGTGAGCCTGAGTCACAATCCATTGTATTCTATTTCAATAATTGTGAATTATTTTGCTCGAGACGATGAAAATCTTCGTGGTTTGCATCCCGGTTGATCGAATTTCTTCTAATAAGGGTTTCCACACTTAAAACCCCGCTGTAGTCATCTCTCAAACTCTACTTAATCATAACCCCCCGTGGTTATTAGTGTACTGTTTACAACTTAATCAACATAACAGTTTTTGCACCGCACAACTTACAATTTGTCATGCACTTAAAGTAGGTAACCTACATCAACTCCTCTAAAGAAAATTTATAGTCAGAACTTTTTATATGGTACAAGATAAAAATTGAATAAGACCACATATTTATTTACGCGACGAGTTATAATTTACCGAGATCATATAATCTTGAACACATAGTAAAAATTTCTTCCATAACAATACATCCTTTAGTTGAGTGAGACTGTAAGGGCTCTCAGTAAATGAGCCAAACTCCTATGTAGCCTTTTAGATAATGGTCTCCCTGGCCACTTCAGTTGATATGTAATGCTCTCACCCTCAAACCCAATACACATTTTCACTTCAGTTGATATGTAATGCTCTCACCCTCAAACCCAATACACATTTTCATTTAGGAGAAGGATAATGATATTTAAATTGATTTAATAAATTTTTTTTTATGAAAAATGACAAAACAACCGATTCATTTTCTAATGTTATCCACGAGTGTTGTAGTCCAGTGATATCATTTCTATCTCTCAAGTGGATGATTCAAGTGTAGGTAGAAACAAATGAATTTTATTTTTTAAAACAATTCTTAATTTTAATTTCATTTAACAATTTGACTAAATTACACTAAATTCTCCACACACACACACACACACACACACAAAAAAAAAAAAAAATTAAGTCACAAGGATGACAGCAACCTCACCACCACCACTACCACCACCATTAACATCAACAAGAAAAAATAACCAAAAAAAAAAAAAAAAAGATTCTCCACTAAATGAATAGATGATGGTGGAGAGAAGATAGTAGATATTTGTAAACTGAAAGCCAGCCTTGTTGTGAAGGGTGTATTATGTCCCAAAAGAATGATTGGTCAGGATTATTGCATACCATGTACTTCTTCACTCCATTCTCATCTAGGCTTCCACATCCATATTCTCTGCTCACACCCACGCAGCATGGTTTCAATGGGTTCACAAACTCTGAATTTTCTACATGCACCACGAAGATTGGGTTAATATATATATATATATATATATATATATATATATATATATAATTTATTTTCTTGAGCAGTTGATAGTAATTATATGTTTCTCTATTTCGCACTAAGAAACAAATAAAAGAAAATAATATAGTTGACAATTTCTTTCAACTGAAATTTCTTCGGTGAGTACTTTTGATTAGTTATATATGTAAAATACAAGAAAGTGAAACCTCTCACTTTCTTCTATCTTGCCAATCAATAATGTCCGTTCAAAGAATTCTGACTTTAAGTAGCGCTACTCTTTTTCATAAAATATATTCATATTTGGTCATGAATTGTTTTCTTTAAATTGAATTTTTAACCCCTCCCAAAATTTCAGCATATACAACTAAGAAAGACAGTTTTTTTGGGTTCAAAAGTCATGGTTAAAATGCAAATTCAGATTTGGATTTCTTTTATTCTAAGAATCTCTTTGCAAATTAATAAATATATAAACACATGATTTTTTAAATATTCCCTCGTCTCTCATGAGTCACGACTATTTCATTAAGCATATTAATTACATGTATACAAGTAATACATGTAAGGACATGATATTCACACTCTGTTTTGTACTTCTTACTGTCTTTTATTTTATTTTTTTAAAAAATGATAAATAGAATGACATACTCCAATTATACTTCATCACTCTTCACACTTACCAATTATTTTAAGATGTACTCTTGCACTTAAAAGTGTGCGGGTACTGGATAAACATATTTATCGATGAGTTTTTTTTGAATGTCGTATCGTTCATCAAGTGGGTTCCATCACCACATCCAACAGCTAGGAACCTCAGGTATATTGTAGATTTTCACATATATATGATTTGTTTGCCAAATATATTTATATTGTATATGTATGTTTAATTTAAGGCATGTCTATATGGTCTGTAAAAAATGATCACCTGCATGGTTTTCTTTTATCTTCAATGCAGACATGAAAGCGCTGTATAAATCAAGCATCACAAACACAGATCCACTGCTTTCATTGTTCAACTTCTGCACTGTTTGCTGCAACATTTGGTTATGGAACTTTGTGGCTGCATTTTCAGTTGCACTGCAATTCTGGTATGAAGACGAGGCAGTGAATGTAGGCAAGCACCCCAAGGGTTCCATGGCTGTTAGGGCTACTTTTTGCACTCCCAAGCCGCGAATCCGTTTCAGATTCAGGGCAAGCTGGTTGTTTACAGCGGTGGTGAAGACTGGCAAACCCTGTCATGTACAAAGAGTGCATTCAAATTATACACACACGTTTATATTAAATCATTTAAAAGTTTAAGCTATTAGAAAATATACAACTTAATTAAAGAGGATTGCTAAACACAGTCGCGTAAGCGACTGTGCATTGCACATCTGATTGGTTGAAAAACTCAATTATAAAAGTTTTTAATGCCTATTTCCTACAACTTCAACTTTTAAGACCAAATTATCTTTTTATATTTCTCCTTCTTCTTCTTCTTCTTTTTCTTCTTTTTTTAATCCTATTTGTATGTGTATATATATATATTCTTTGCTTACCTATCTTATTCTTTTTTCTTTCTCTCTATTTTCAATTGTTTTTAACTATTTATATATGCTCACCGTGTGAATGGTTTCTCACTGTTTCTCCCTCTTCTTTAGATAAAGAGAGAGAAAAAAAAGAACTGATTGCTTCTTTCCTTTTTTTTAAATTCTTTCATTTTCTATATATATATATATAGTAGTTAACCATACTGTGAATAGATTGAGAAATCATACTTCTCTTATCTCATATAATAACTAAAACTCAAATTTTATAATATTACTTCAATTAAAACTCAATCTCCTCAATCTCATACCATTATTTCAATTAAATTACATAAAATCCAAGAAAAAATGCATCTGGAATATATATATATATATATAAAATATAAGTGAACAAAAAAAAAAAAGAAAAAAAAAAAAAGGGAAAGCAAAGAATGAAGTATAGCCATATATATCCAATTAGGAAAGAAAGAAAAAAAAAATAAAGATATAAATATATATATAAAAGACAAGTGAACAAAAAAAAAATAAAAATAATAATAATAAAATAAAGAAAGCAAAGAATGAAGTATAGCCATATATATCCAATTAGGAAAGAAAGAAAAAAAAAGAAGAAGATATAAATATATATATAAATGAAAAAAAAAAAGCAAAGAATGAAGTATAGCCATATATACCCAATTAGGAAAGAAAGAAAAAAAAAAATAAAGAAGAAAATTGTTAAAAATAAAGAAAAAAAAATAAAGTTAAATATATGAAACAAAGGAAAGAAGGAAGGTTATTAGATATAAAGAAAGAGGAAATAATTTAAAAGGGTAATTTGGTTTTAAAGTTGAAGTTTTATAATTCAAAAAAAATAAGAAGGAGACATTAATTACAACTTATTTTTCAAGCAATCAAAGGTGCGACCGTATTTAGCACTCCTCTTAATTATAATAAACAATGCTCTCAATTGGATGCGCCAAATGAATCCTACTTGCCGGCACCCAAGGAGACCATCTCTCTTACCCTTTTTTCAAAAAGGGTATGCTGTCAATTTATTTATTTATATTTCATTTCTCATTTAATTAAGAGTTTGAAAACACTTCTCTTTATTATTAGAATATATTATTATTATATTATAAAATATATTCCAACCATGTATAGGTTTACCATATATAGGGTTTAGATTTCTTACTCTCTACACATCTAGTCACTTATATAAACCCATGTGGATCTCATATCTCATAGACATCAATACAATATATAAGTTCTCTCTTTTAACATTTATAAATTTGAATCGGAATTAATTAGAGATGAATTTTTTTTTTTTCAAATGGAGTTAGGAAAATTTTATCTCCAAAATTTAGAAACCCTAACCCTAAATTTTCAACAACTAAATCCTGACAATCCTAGGCATTTAGGGCATGTTTGGCTCAGTTTTTTATAATAACGGTTTTAATTGTTCTAGAAATGGTATAAAGGCAGTTTTTGAAAACTGTTTTCTAAAAAAGTTAAAAAAAAAAATACCTGATTTTTAAAACAATTTAAAACCTAGTCAAAGAACAATTAAAACTATTCAATTAAACTACAACTATTAAATGTACTCAAAAGAGACTAACATAAATGCATCTAATATTACATATATTTGATCAAATTACACTACTAAATGTACCTAAATGAGACCACTGTAAATAATTACTTATATCTAACTCGAATCAAATTAGTTAGACAAAACCCACTTAAATAAATCTAAGATTGCATATATCTGACCCATCACATTTCCAACTTAAGTGCAATTTAGGAACTACTAAAACCCATAGCTTCCATAATTTAGGGTTAGGATTTCTGAATCATACTGTGCGTGTGTATTTGAAAGCATAAAAAGAAAAATTGCTTTCTAGGCCGCTAATCGAAACAAAATTTAGAGTTTGTTTGGTTCAGTTTTTTATAATAACAGTTTTAATTGTTCTCATAAACAGTATAAAATTTTGCTTGACAGTTTAAGAAAACTGTTTTCTAAAATGTTAAAAAAAACACCTATTTTTAAAAACAATTTAAAAACTAGTCAAAGAACAATTAAAACTATTCCGACTGCAATTAAACTACAACTATTAAATGTAAACGAGAGTAACATAAATGCATCTAATATTACATATATTCAATCAAATTACACTATTAAATGTACTTAAATGAGACCACTTTAAATGGATGTAAGATTACTTATATATTGTTAAACGAAACCCACATAAATGAATCTAAGATTACATATATCTGACTTCAATTAAACTACAACTATTAAATGTACTCAAACGAGACTAACATAAATGCATATATTCGATCAAATTACACTATTAAATGTACTTAAATGAGACCATTATAAATGGATGTAAGATTACTTGTATTTGACTCGAATCAAATTAGTTCAACGAAACCCACATAAATGATGAATATAAGATTACATATATCCGACTATGATCACATTTCCAACTTAACTGCAATTTAGGAACTGCTAAAACCCATAGCTTCAAAACGAGTGAGATGTCAACATTACACGCAATATTGTCATAGAGACATAATTTTACTTTAAAAAAATAAAATAAAAATATTAAATATTATACACCAAGGAGGGTGCTAATTAAAATATATAGCCAAGCAGACAGATACAATTAGTTTAACCACTCACCTGAAGGCTGCCATTGTGTGCCATGTAAGTAGCATAGTCGTTGCCTGCCAGGGACACCAGAGCAACCGACGAGTTTAGGTCGCGTTTGGTGTACACATTTTCCTCAAGGAGGTTTTGAAAAAAGTTTATTTGTGTTGTCATGTTTGGTCCTTTGACCAATGTAGTGAAGACACCTGTACCTCCACGAGCAAAATTCATCCCATGTTGTACCAATTTCCCACCAAATTTTCTCCATCTATAGGGTAATGGAGATTTGGTGCCCAGAAATGCAGCTGTATGTCACACCAAGTCCATAACAACAATATTATTATTATTATTATTATTATTATAAATAATAAGGAAAAATAAAATTTTGAGGTTGATTTTATTCTAAGTCTCCACATTAATTAAAACTTGAGTTATGATTATTTTTTGGCTGGCCAATTATTCCGAATTTCAACGGATATCAAGAATCATATTGTGTAGATTATATTCGGCAAATTAGACAAAAATTACCAAAATAACTTAATTTTATAAATAAAAAATTGGTTTTGCTTTTGGGTTTTATCCTAAAAGACTTCATACAAATTGGAGATAGTACCACCACATATAAACACTTCATATTTTCCTTAAGATTGTCACAAGACAATTGAAACTAACAAAGTTCATCCTCAATATATTTATGGAGCTTGGTTCAAATAAACTCAAAAAACTAGTAGAACTATCCCTTAGGTATCATCGATGCTTGATGCAATGGTAAAAGGTAAGGTTTTCTACTTATAAGTTATGCATGTTATGATGGTAATATTTGTGTTAGCTAGAATGTGTCATTTCATATAAGTGTTAGGAACTTCTGGTAATCTAATCTTTATTGTTATGATTTTAAAAATGTATATGCATATATAAGTGTCAATAAATCTTTCTTTTCGAACTATATGAAATGTTATTGTAAACAGTGTCGACATAAATGAAAGTTGATAATTTGACACCATAACCACAGTACATTAAAGCTCAAACATTCGTATATGAGTGGATCCAAGTCATATTCAGATCCAGCCATCCACCAAGTTTAAAGGTTGCATAAAATTTTATTAAAAAAAAAAAGAAAAAAGGTTGCAGTAGTAGAAAAATCTCATGGTAAGAAGCTGTGTGTGTCACTGTGTGAGAGAGAGAGAGAAGGAGAAGAAGATTCACCTATATAATCAGTGAGGACACGTCCATCGGAGAAGCGGCCGGATGGTTTGCCGGGAAAGGTATTTCCATAAGGTTGCTTCCAGGAGCTTGCCAATGCTTTGGGGCAATTCCCAGTATCCGCATACGAGTCCCCGAATACGAAAAGCTTCACTCCTGATCCGCCACCATGGTAGTAGTTATGCGATCCTGCAACTGCATGCATGCATGAAAGAGGAATTAGATATGGAAACAATATTAGTTAAGAAAAACAGCACTAATTAAAAGCAAGGCATCCATGTCAACCTGTATAAGCACCAAACAACAAGAAGAAGAAGATACAAGAGAATACGACGAAGCTCATTTGCTTCTCCATCAATGACTAGTTTTGATGTGCTGCTCACAGATTCGCATATGGAGGTGTATATATATATATATATATATGGAATGATAACAAATTAAGTAACTCGTACCAGGGCGGAGCCAGAATTTCAATTTAGGAAGCGCAGTATAAGAAAGAAAGAAAAAAAAAAAAAAAAAAATCAACAAACATGACAAATATAGAATTTTGTTTTAACGAAAAACGTTTTTTGTTTTCTGTTACTAACAAAAATAAAAATTATATTTAATAATATGTTTTTATTTTTTATAACAAAAAAGGTTTTTCATTTTTGTAAAAGAAAAGAGGAAACATAAAAGGTGTATATGTTTTGCACTATTGTTACTATATAAACACTATTCATTTCAAACAAAATCCACGTTCTATATTAATACTACATATTATATATTAATAAAACTATATTTTTAATATATAATATATTATATAATAATTTAAATTATTTTATTTAATAAAAATATAGTTTTAATATATAATTATATTATATGTAAATATTATAATGCATTATGTATTTTATTACATATAGGATATATTATATAAAAAAAATTATTTATTATAATATACTTTATGTCAAATATATGACGTACTGCATAATAAATGTATACATGATTGTTTTCATCTTGTTATATCTTACTTTATACTTATTCGATAGGTATTATTAAGATTTGTGATTTTAAATTAGATATTATATTTTATTATCATGTATTGATTATGGTTAATATTTGTGAAATAGTTGAATTGCATACATATCCGGTTGCATTCTAAATAGAACGAGTTGCGTTTTTATGAGCATTCGGGATTTCAACTTTTGTTAACATTTTAGTTTATTATTTTTACCCAAATTCCTAGGGATGTCCTTGAGATTTTAAAACATTTTTTTTTACTAAATATAAAGGGTCTATAGCATATAAATACATCATCTATCTCTAACCTTAATACTCCGTTCGGTAGGAAGGAAGAAAATTAAATGGAATGGAGAGAAGAAAGGAATGATAAGACATCCCTAGGGAAGAGATTACGAACTTCACTCGTTTTGTTCGGTTTGATGAAAAAGAAGAGAAGACAAATTACTTTGTTTGTTAAGAGAGAAGGAAATTTATTTATTTAAATTATTTTTACCGTTATACCCTCACTATTTTTACTACTCATTTGAACTATATATATATAAAGCAGAATCATATTTCATCATTAAAAAAAGAAAAAGAAAAAATAACCACTATCTACATGCCTGGAAGCAGAGAGAGGGATTCCATCACATGGATTCAAATATCTAATACTACCTATTGCGTGGGCATTGCTGTGCATTTAACCTCAAAAGCTCCTTTATTCTCTCTTTATATACACACATATGTATGTATGGTTGATAAATGTGAATCTATTTGTGTTTCTCAAAAAGCCAAGCACAGAAATTCAATTTCTTTTTCTATTGAATCAATGATTCAATTTTATCGTCGGTGCCTATATATTCTCCTTTAAAACATACAACTTGTTTGTTTCAAGTTCCCTATTGATAATCTTTTAGAGAGCTAGAGAGAGTAATTAATGGGGAGAAAACCATGTTGTGATAAGAAACGGTTGAAGAAAGGCCATGGACTCCGGACGAAGATAAGATTCTCATTTAATTTAAAATTTCAGAACAGAAATTAATAAAAACAGGGAACATTTAGATGCAGTAAGTTCAGTAACTGATGCTCCAAAGGTGTTGTCCCTGATCCTGTTTTGCAGAATCGGAGTGTGCCTTTGCTTGTGCAGCAGGTGGTGTCTCTGCACGAGTGTTTAAACTTGGAGCGACTGGACTTAATTTGGGGACATTTAACGATGCTTCTGTATTAGGGTTTTGCTTGAGATGAGATTGTGGAGTTTATTAATATATGTGAAAGATAATTTCGTAATTTAATTTTTTTTATAATAGCTTCACTTGTTTTCTCTCTTGTCTTTCACCCAAATTTAGGCGGAAGAAAATTTGTAAAGCTTTATTTTCCTTTTCGTATTGAACGCCGGAACTTTGTTCCTTCCCTTCAATTTTCCCTCCACCTATTTTCTTTCTTTCCTACCGAATAGAGCCTAAAGGAGATTGATTGCTTCGATTGAAAAAAAATAAGGTTTTCATCTTTTACATAAACATTGTAGCTTCATCAGAGATTTTTTTAGAGAAATCTAATTGTTTATCTTTGAGAGCACACACTTAAGCACAAGAGTGATTTAGTGTGATGTCCTTTTACTGATCAGCATGTACAGAATCTTCAGAGCGTACATTAGGTTACAGAGATGGATCTCTTCAGCAGGGTTTTCTTCTAAGCTTTACAAATTCATATTTAAATGAAGAGAAGGGATTGATTACATTTTGAAGGGCTAGAGTATTCAAGGAGTGTTCGTCAACCCTTCTACAAACATCAAGAAATAACCTGAAGTCTAGCGTGTTTGGACGGGCTGTTGCAAAGCCAAATAGATATTTAAAGATTGATACTTGGAGGAGTGAAGTGGGTGTGAGCCCGAGTCACAGTCCATTTTATTTTATTTCAATAATTGTGGATTGTTTCGCAAATCTTCGTAGTTTGCATCCCGGTTGGGCGAATTTCTTTCGACAAGGTTTCCCTTGGTGTAGTCAACTCTCAAACTCTACTGTATCGTAAAAAATTGCACCCCCGTGGTTATTAGTGTATTGTTTACAACTTAATCAACATAACAGATTTTGCACAGCACTACTTACAATTTGTCATGCAGTTAAAGTAGGTAACCTGCATCAACTCCTATAAAGAAAATTAATAGTCTGAACTTTTTATATGGTACAAGATAAAAATTGAATAAGACCACATATTTATTTACGTGACGAGTTATAATTTACCGAGATCATATAATCTTGAACCCGTGTAAAAATTTCTTCCATAAATCAATTGATAATTCAGTACAATACATTTTTCAGTGGAGTGAGACTGTAAGGGCACTGAATAAATGAACCAAACTCCTATGTAGCCTTATAGATAATGGTTTCCATAGCCACTTCAGTTGATATGTAATGCTCTCCCTGTAATACACCTAATTTCAAAAGGATAGTCCTAGTATTGTTTTAATTAAATTATTAAATGGTGTTTGAATTTTAAATTGTTTAACTTGTTGATTGGTGTTTTTATTTGCAATAATTGATGACTTGTTGTTTAATGTCCTAGTATTGTTTTAATTAAATTATTAAATGGTGTTTGAATTTTAAATTGTTTAACTTGTTGATTGGTGTTTTTATTTGCAATAATTGATGACTTGTTGTTTAATGGTGATTTTGTGAATTAAGTAATTATTACATTGTATTTTATTTTCTGTATTACGTTAGATTGGACTTTATCATTTTCTTTAATTGAATTGATTATTAAAGGTTTTAATTTAGGAAGTATTTTAATTAACTATTTTTCATAATTTAGGGTTTAGTTTCTTTAGCCGACACAGGTTTTAATTAAGTTCTATGGGCCGGTTAGGATTTAGTTAGGGCTTTAATTAATTTAGGGTTTTGGTATAACTCTATAAATATATGGGTATACGTCTGCCGAGGGTTTCTGAAAACCCTATTCACCATATTCAGGTATACAGTGATACAGAGAGTTGTGAGGGCAGAGTAACAGAGATGGAGTTTACGTACGTTACAGAGAGGGAATAGGAAGACAGAGCAGGGGGAAAACTGTAGAGACGGTGGATATCAGTTTCAAAATCTGAAACTGCAGGCAAGTCTCTGTTCTTCTCTTTCCCATGAATCTGTGTTCTGTGCATACTTAGTTAAGACTCTAGGGATTAAAACAAGGATAAAATGGACTTAAATAAACTTTATAACAAGTTTTATATGCATGTATGAATTTCATTTACTCTCGTGAATTAACTGCTTTGCAAGAATTGTTGATTTTCTGCTACTTGATTTTGCTGCGGATTGTTTTTGAATCTTGTGTTAGATTCTTGTTGTGAAGATATATTTATTAGTCTGAGACTTTAAATGAACCCTAGAATAAGTGTTTAACACAGTATTTAATTTCACCAAATAGATCTGTTGTGGGTTGCTTAAAAATTTCAGACTAAGGTTCTGTAAACGTGGTTTTAAAACTTGTGTTCCTACACATGTTAGGATTGGATCTCAGCGGTTTAAACTTATTTGGGACTAAGATTGAACCTAGAATAAGAATTAGAACACACCACAGAGGCTCTGTAATCACCGGAGTCGGAGAAGATGAAGCTGGAACGGGCAACAGGCTGCTGAAAGGGATGGAGCAGGCTCCAAAACACAAAGGAGCCGGCTCAAAGGCAAAGGAGCCGGCTCTATTAGAGTTTGGATCCGGCTCAATGCTGAAGGAGCCGGCTCTAACCCAAAAATGGAGCAGGCTCAATGTTTTAATTGAGCCTGCTCTTTCTTGAAGCGCACTGAAAGGAGTTTTAAGGCTGTTTGGGCTGCACGGTGTTTTCTAAGGCTGTTTAAAAGCTACTGTGAGATGTAATTAAATGTTAGGGACTTAAATAAATATTGAAAACATTTAATACAATAATGGTTTAAGGAAAGGATCAATGAACAACTCAAATAGTGGCTATACGTTGCACTGTTTTTGCTAGGTTTATATGACTGGAACTTGGCAAAGTTTTTATATATAATTGAATTATATGTAATCCTATATTTGTATAGTGTTATAATTATGGTGAATTAATTATATTTAAATATACTTAGTTTGGATTTAATTGATATTTAATTTGTTTAATTAGTTTCAATTTATCGGTTGTTTTGGAGGACTTAAACGCTATGATTTATTTTAGCGGTTTAAATGATTGGAGCATGATATTTAGGTTTTGTAATGAATACCTAATATTGATATATGTATTAATTTATACAAATGCATATTCTGGAGTACGGTTGTTGATTATATAATGTTGTTTTAATAACTATGCTTTATGGAAGATTTGTATGTACCGGTATGGGACGGTGACATACTAGGTATGGATTAATCAAACACTAA